GTTTGGCCAATGATTCGAATGAGAAAATGTTCAATCAGAAAAGTTATCACATTGCCCTAGAAAATTGAAAGGGTTACATTACATCAGATAACATTTCTGTAACCTTAGTAATGACACGACAAAAAAACAACAACACAAAAACTACGATTGTGGACAAGATTAATTTGGGACACATCTAAAACTTTTGTAACAGGTGAGAAATCAGTTCAATTTTGCTGCCATTTTACTCTATAACCAGATGTATGTTCAGTTTGACTTGTTGAGTCTTGAGTTGCATTGTAGATTTCTCTTCTGACAAAAAATGTTGTTTTTGGCTGCAAGTATATCTCTGTCTATGAATCTTGTGATGAGCTTTGCTCAACTGAAATCTAACTACCTTAGTTTATCCCTTAGCTCATTCATATGAGACAGCAGACACTTTGAAAGCTCTAAAGAATGATGCAACTTGAATCACACAGGAAGGAAAGTTAAACAACTGTGGCAGTAGCTAACAGATCTTAACATGTCTAAAAATCGTGAAGAAAAAGGCAAATGGATGGATCATCTCTGAACAGGTGGCTGGTTTATCACAGGGTCATGCAGAGATGGAGAACCACTCACATTTACTTTGATGGGAGTGTGCCATGGGATGAGGATGCCCAAGCATTTTCTTTAGCTACATTGTTTTTGCCAGACATAAGTTACATACATATGATACTTACAAATGATATACAACAACAAAAAATGTATTTTCGGCTCATACATTTAAATGTTGAACTTGCCCCATCTGTATGATTTAAGTTCTTCTGTTCAACTTAAGTTTATTCAAAGGGCTTTCTCTCTTCTGGCCATAGAATGATGTAAAAATGTTCAGGAGTTTTAATTAGAACTCACACAGTCCTGATGCAAGGACAGCACTTCATGAGTCAGGCTTTGTGAAGTTCTCCTTGGGTGTAAGTCTGTTTTTTTTTTATGAACTACTGCTTAGTAATTAATTGGCATCTAAAAACTCCTACATGGCAGGAGAGCGGTAGACGTGGGAGGAAAGAAGTAGCTCAGACTGCATTTACACAGATTAAACATTACTGGCTACTCAATTTGGCAGGAAGGAATATTTCACTTTAAAACTTTCTTCAGCCATTTTCATTGAAAAAATCCGTGAACAGGTGGCATGACTGGCTTTTGAGTGACCCGATGATCATGAGAATGTGCATGAAGTTCTGCAGGTGGGGAAAAAAAAACTCAGACATCACAGGCAAGCAGAAAAGAGACATCAATTAACTACTCAAACTCATTTCTGTTCAATAAAATTGCATATCTAAAGCTTTACATGAACATTGTAACCCTATGATGTAAACAAGTTTCAAATGATCTCTAAACTTTTGACTAATTTAGAAGGTAGAAGTCTATGAATATATAAACCTCCCATTGCCTTTTAAACCTCCCATTCTCCCCCTGTGAAGAGGCCCAGTCTGCCTCTCCAAAGGCCTTGTTTCTGCTCGCATGTTGATGTTCATCTGCTTCAATGTCACTACACAGATGGAAAGATTTTGGATATGCAAGCAAAGCAGAAAGAACTGAGCACAAGAATCTGAGGAACTTGCAGCACGTAGCTCTCAGAGATGATGCAACTGGTAGGTCATATGCTGATTGGTTGTTGTCGAGCTGGAAGATCCCAACATTGATAGATTTCATCATAAAGGGGAAGAAACACCTCAAATGATTAAAGAGACACATAGGGAAGGGCTGTCTGAGCCTTTCAGACTGGACAACTTTTTTTTTCACACCTCCTAAAAAACAGAGCTCGTCCTCCAATAGCTCTGTATTTTCCCCAGCAGAGCAAAAGCTGAAAGAACAACAACACTAACAACAAAAACAAGAGTCGCCCACACCTGAGTTTATTCTACTTATTTCTGGGACAGCCCCCAAGAGGGAGCAAAAAGTGTTAATATGTAGACGTGGGTTTTGTAAACTGTTCACTTCTCAAGCATTTTCAAGCTGGAGAAGAAGAAAGACCCCTTCCCCCCTTTTCTCATTTTGCACTTCTATAGTGTCCTTGATGCCTTTGCTCAAAATTGAATCATCCTTCAAACTGTTTTGCTAAGATTGATTTCTGGATAACATGAAAGGGAGGACAGAGAAGCGAGATGGTACGAATCGGACAAATGTGATGAGAGCACAAAGTCAACACAGTCAAAGTGCCCATTTTGTTAAAAAATAAATAATAAACTAGGGAAAGGTTTTTTACATCAGCCAGTGCAAGAACAAAGTTTTAGGTATGTTTAGGGGATTATTCCTCATTGGGTTAGAGTTATGCCAAGATGACAAGTTGCTGTCAGTTTAGGTAGAACAGGATTCCCACAAAATACTCGGACTGACCTTTTTCAGGGTAACCACATGCTTTCCAAGACTGAAACACTGAAATGTCTCCGTTTAATCAGGGTAATTTACTGTGTATCCTGCTTTTCAAAAGAGTTTATTAGAATGATACAATCTGATTATATAAGATTGTATTAGAACATCTAAGGACAATCTAGATGTCAGGTGTTCATAAATAGGATACATGTGACCCCATAGATTTAGAAAACCCAAATTTCCATGTATTCCTTTTGGTCGTTGATGCACATTACAGGTTTGCATCAATGTGTCTGCTGTAGTTACACAGCAATTAATAGAAAGTCTTTACAAATATAAACAAAATATAAAACAATAAAATTGATCTTATCAAACTGGTCCTTTTTTGTATTTAAGTTGCTTCATTTAAAAATTATATATAACTCTCGTTCATAGTTTTCTTTCAAATACAGATAATTTCAGTGTAAACGATAATCTATTTTTATGCAACAATTTTTGTAGTTCATGAGCTGACACTGCCCTCACCAATAAGGTTTAAATACGGTAAGAATGTATGCAAATTTTGGATTTGAGCTCTATATCTTCACTGAAACCTGTCTAACGTTCCTACTTTTCTTTCCTCAGCTCTACCTACGCCTGCTGTGCTCCTTGCCAGTCCGAGTGCCATGGGGATAAAAGACTCACTCTGTTGGATTTAGACGAGCAGACACAGTATGGAGTGGAACCATAAAGCGAGGGCAGCAGATGAAACAAAGACACACATGAAACAGTGGAGAAAAAATAAATCAGAAAAACAGCCATAGAACTTCAGCTAACACCATGTTCAAAGGTCAGTCCCCTGATCCCTTCACAGATCAACTTTGGAGGGAATTATAGGATTGGAAGAATGGACATAGCACTCAAATTATTTCAGCTGGTGGAGTCTACCGATTCATAAAGGGGGAGGGAGTAGGCAGCCGTGCAGTTTGATAACAACAAATAAATTGAAACCTTGATGAATTTCCCAAAATATATTTTTCAATGATAATCCAAAACTTGACTTCCAATCTCAAGTCTTTACCCGTATGAAACACTTTGTGAACATGTACAGTATGAGAGGAGATTTTGTAAGAAGTGACGACATTAATATATTTGTGCGCCACAGGATCTGGTTGTTAAATCAGTTATAAACCTTATAATCAAACATAAAGACAAAATGTTTAGTAAATGGGTTTGTGGGTTCTCATATCCACTGGGGGGAACAATCATTACCTTCAATAAACATTTTGTAGAAATTATGTTATGTCCAGTTTGATTGAAAGATTGTGGACACTTATATATTTTAGATTGATGGCCTGGTGTGAAAACGAATTCAAGATTTGGCCTTACATGACACAGAGTTTCAAAGGATTTCATAAAGGCATAAGACTGCTTCAATTTCAAAGTTTGCAGTGAAGCACCTCTTCTCTAAAATGCCCATCCAGCTACACATTATTGTATTTTTGTCCTGGATAATTGGAGAAGAATGTCAGCATGTCTTTTATTTATTAGAAACCACCATAGGGGCTGCTGAATAGCTGGGTCTTGGGGACCTTTTCTGCCTGTCTTTAATCCCTGGAGGGCCATGACTGCAGCCCTTTGCACCCATAATGAAACAAAATTCATATAAGCACCATGACTTGCATGGACACACACACATGCACGTACCCACACACTCAATCACATGCTCATTATTCGGCTGCTGTGTTGTCCTGTGGTTAATCAGCAGTAACGACAGCTATGTTTTCATATACTTGCTGTTGGTGTTGTTGATATTCTTTTTTCTTCCCCATTTGCTTTCCTGTAGGTGCTCCTTATGACTTCCTGCCTTGTTTTCCCACAGAGTTCATAGGGTGTTCTCTATTAGGTTTCTCTACAGATGTTGTAGCCGGTTGTCCGGTTTTACATTAATATTTGTTGTTGTTTTCCAGCTTTTGTATTGTTGTCTCTCTTTTCTTTCCCCCCTTCTATTGTTTCCTCTGTGAAGTTCAGCATTAATATATCATTTTGACAATAGATGCATCCAGGGGAGCTTTATATCCACAAAGCTTTCAATGGCAAAAAGCATGTTTGTGGGACAACACAGAACTCATTCTGCTTGACATAATACTTAATTGCACAGAATTAAAGAAGAAAAAGAAAACAAGTAAATTAATGAATTGATACATCTATTCAAATAAAAATAAATTATTTCATAAAAATAGAAATGATTAAGTGTGCAAGAAAATGGGTTGAATGCTATCGTATATGATCCCATGATCCTGATCCTGATTAATGCCACTGACTTATTGGGTTAAGTCCACAGGCACAAACATCCGTCCTTTCATTGCATTAGGGAAATACAAAAATGTTAAGTCACACAAAGAACTGGCTGGCTGAGGAAGAATTCTGTTATCAGCAAAGTTCAGACACAGGATAATACTCTTGGTGTAAAACTTCTTCATAACCAAAGGCAGCAGTTATACAGCAACAACGCCAGAATAGTCAAATTTGGTGGCTCAAAGGATTTGAGGAAAAAAATGGGACTGCTGTGTGTTTTGTGGTTAAGATAATGTGACATTGTACAAACAAGCCTTGCTCTTCTTATTAAATATAGCATTTTAATGAGAAATAGATTATTATTATATGAAACATTCATTTAAAATAAGCTGAAACAATGTTCCAAAAGGAAAGGCAAAAGAAATACATAGGCAAGGTATTAGATGTAAAAATGTTCAGACAAATTTATGGATACATTTACAGTAAGCAAAAATGGTAGCAGAATGCTATACAAGTAAATGTGCTTGTTTTATGATTTTTGATAGGGTATGCAAACGAAATTGTAATATACAGTAGGTTTTGACAATTTAAAAACAGTCATAAATGGTTATGAATCCAAATAGACACAAGACATTGGGGAGACTGTATTTTTGTGCTAATGTACTCAAATGGAAAGCTTCTTTGAATAAGTCTTTGTATTTCCTTTCAATGCTGTTATTTTTTTTCATGATAATGCATTGTTACTGTAAAGGAGTTCTTATTTACACATATATCATACAACATGGACCAAAATGTTCCGCCATTTCCACAAGTCAGCTGTTGTCTTTCTGGTGGTCGATTTCTCCAACTCCTTCAGGGAGGTTTTTTTTTCTTTTTTTTTTGTCAAAAATCATTTACCAAGTCAAATTATATGGTCTTACATTTTTCAGATTACTAAATGGCACTCTTTTGTTCAATACTAAACTTTTCTCCAGCTCAAATTTTTTTAAAGGGATTGATAACAGGCACTTAATAATAATAATAATAATAGCAACAATAATAACTAATAATAATATAAACAATGATAACTAATATTAATACAATTTGGGTGAGAATTCATGAGTATAATTTAGTACTAATACTAATCAGTCAAGGTCATACAGTGGAAACTTTCTTTAACATATTATAAGATCATTTTATATTATAATATTGAGGCCATTTGAATACATCTTAAGCACTTTAATCTGTCAGTTTGTCAGCTGAGCCCTGTTCTAGAACTGTGTCTCATTTGAATACTTCCGTTAGTACATACGGTACTCGTAGTAAGTTGTATACAGGAACATAGGGGTGTAATGAGTGAATTTTGACAGCAGCTTTTCAAGTTGTACACCAACAGAAAATGACAATTGCAACTGCCACACTAGTTACATTTTTCAAAAAAATTTCTCGCTTCTGACTGCACAAAATACTACAGTGAAGACGACAATTCAACATGCTTCAACACCAAACAACTACACAAGACAAAAACTGTCAATGCCTGTTAAAATGTGCTACTGGTAGCAACCTTTTGAGTATTTTCATTTGTTAATCTTGTTCCATTGTATGCCAAATTCAAAGGTGAGAGTAATTTCAAAGGTAACTGAAATTGTTTTTGTTAGTGTGAGTACACTTACACACTCATTAAATCATGTGTAATTACGGAAGTATGTGAATTGAGACACAGCATTGGTGTTACTATTAGCATGCAAATGTTACAGTGGTTTTGTCAAAGTAAAGCGGTTACCGTGCAAACATTAGCATACTAATCAGCTAGACCGACACAACTGGAAATCCACTGAGCCGTAACAACTTTCTGAATGATATTGTGATCATGACAACATCAAAGCACAAAACTTGTTCAAAGACACAGTGCTGAGCAATTGCCATAACCTACAATTTCCTAAATCAAACTGACCCCAGCCCTCTAACTGCTGAAATTCATTTAATTTCAGTATAACAAACTTACTAATTATTACACAGGAAGTCAGTCATTTCACTGTGGTGAAGATCTGATCTGAAAATCAAATGTAACAAAAAATGTTCACATTTGGTTCTGTTGACAAATATTTTCAGATTCCATGTGAATATAAAAACCCAAAAAGTTTTGCTCTGGTTGAGGAATTCCAATTTCACTGTTGTTCAAATTCACTTTGCACTCGTGTCATTTGGTGGTTTTCAGCAGTATACACAGCTCAGCTCTCACCTCTCAACAAACCAGTTTCATCAAAGTTAAATGAATGACATTTATTTTCAGAATACAAAATGAGATAATAGCAACACAAAAAAACTATCTACACCAACAGACTAAGAAACAAAAAAAGATTTAAAAAAAAAACAATAAAGTCTTAAAACTGAGTTATTTAGATGTTATAGAAAGCTTGCAATTGCGCCATCAATCTTTTACACTTTACAGAGTGAAAATTAATCTAAATCTAACTTGTTTGACAAAAGGGAAAATATTATGTCTCTTATTCCTTAGGTGTGACTCGCTTTCACCCTGCAAAATGGCTGGAATAACTATTTTTTACTACTCAAGTGAGCTTGTCTTGTTAATATCCAATTGGTGACAAATGTTATTACTGATCATTAGGATGTTTCAGCATTTGATTTTTTTAAATTAAAAGCTAATTAATACTTAGGTAGTGTTTCATGTTTTAGTTTGATAATTGAGTGTTTCACAAAGTTGCAGTTCTGTTTATGCTTCCAGCATCATGCAGAAAATTATTCATATCTCAAAATAAAAACATACATTTTTACACATGATCATACATAGCTTACAGATTAAACACTGGCAAAAAGATATTATAAGGTATAATATCACATTTCTTCTTTGTCTTCTTCTTTTCCTGCAGCACAACACGGAAATTCAATGGCTTTACAATACAATCTCACTCAACATAATAAGTCTTCCCTTGTCATCTCTCTTTTTGCTGTGCTCTTATCTGAAATCATCAGAGAATAACACAAAGACATACAAATGGAACAAGTTGGGATAAGCTTTATGCCTTACTTTATATGTCTACCTCAGGGAAGTGTATGGCTTTAAGTTGTTTCGCAAATGTGCCTGAATGATGAATGTTTACATTTTGCTCTTGGTGCGGAAAAGCTCCACAAATCAGCAGTCACAACATGTACATTTTGCAAAGCTGTACAAAATAGCATTGATTGTTAAATCTTCAGACCACAATATTGCACTCACGCACCAGGAGGTACTGCCTTGTGAAAAACACAGCTTGAATTTCAAACACGGGAAGAAGCGCTCCAAATGCAAGATTCAGCTAAGAGTGGGGTCAGTCTCAAGTGACACATTCAATTAACAAACAGCAATAAGCATCAAGCTAAAAAAAAAAAAAAAGACATGGTTTTACAGGCCCTCACACATACGCACACATTCACCCACATACATATGTATATATAAACAGCTGGCTTTTGTTATTTGACATGACTGTCCTTGACTGCCGTACTGTGTGCCTTTTGTGTCAGAACAATGACAAAATGTCCAGGAACTCTCAAAGAGCAATGCAGATTCAGCATGGATCTGAAACGCAATAGAGTTTATAAGTAATGTGTGGACTACTTACTCACTAAGGCTATTTAATCCTTACAATGTATAAACATTTCAATATTAAACTGTCCATTACATCTGAAATATTTTGCGCTTCAGGAGAAATAAAATAATATCTTGTCTGCCTGTGTGTTTTATCATTATTCCTTTAAAAATGTCTTTTTTCAATAAAGAATGGCAGTTTCAGACAAAACCTTTGATCCCTCAGATTAAAATCAAGGCCTCTTTTTCACCAGTACATAGATTTAATGTATATATTCATATATATCTTTTTTTTTTCTTTTTTCACTCTCCATTTTAATTTTTTTAGGGAGTTACAGACATGCTGGGACAAATATGATACAGTCTTTATAGTGGTTCCATTAATCTTCTTTATCTGCCAGAAAAGCTTTTCATCACTGCCTTTTCCTTTTTTTTTCTTTTTTAAGAATTATGCTTACAAAGTTAATATTACATCAAAAGGCAGAAAAGGTCAAAAAAAGAAAAAAAGGAAAAAAAGATTAACATCCCTCCATTGTTTATGTGTCAGGTGTTGTTTAGTTGGCTCTCCTTAAGTTAATGTCACGTTTAACAGAGTTTAGCAGTCAGGTGATCTGATTGTTTTAGTATTTCTGTGCTGTACATGTCCAAGGCATGGTTGACTCGAATCATCTCACTGTTGTTCAGCTTGAGCCTATGCTTTAACATACATGAGAAGAGGTCCAGCTGGGGTTTGCCAGGTGCAGAGGGAGGTGCCAAACGATTAATCCGATCCCTTATGTCCAGTAGCAGGAGCATGACAGATGAGGAGGAGTAGAACTGAGTCCCTTGTGTGTATGACTGGTTCACCTGCTGTACAGCACTACGAAGCAGATCGGCATTAAAGCGAAGGCTATAACCAAACACTTGAATATCAGAGATTTTTATGTAGATCTGGCGCTTGTTAGGGTCTCCCAGATCCACGGGGCCCTGTCCTGTATCGTTGCGAAGGCCAGTCGGGATCTTGGCACGGCTGCGCAGGTAAATATGTACAGTCTCAAAGAAGGTCTTCCACCTGTTGCCCAGCAGGAGAGTCCAGTTGAAGCACTGTGAGTTCTGCAGTCGTACTTTCTCCCAGCGTGGGTAACCATGTTCACCGAAAGGCATGCTCCAGCCTTCTGAATGACTACCACTAAATGGGTTGACGTAAACGAAAAACATGGGATCTATGCTGCTATTTCGCATCTGACAGATCTTCATAGACAAGCCAATAATCATGTGGAGGTAATCCATCCGGTTTTTGTTACTCTTAAGAGTCAGAGACATGCGCTTACGCCATCGTGGATCAAAGAATGTCTCCAGTCGGATCTCATTACTAATAAAAGTAGTATGAATGTAGAGTCGCGAATCCATTTTCTGTAACAAGTATTTGAGCTCCAAGTCTTGAAAGTCCAGGTCAGTTTCAAAACTGATGAACTGCTCACTACGCTCTGAGTCCACATTCTGAGGCTCACAGCGGCCACGGTACAACTTGTAGCCCTTGTTGCAGGAGCCACATTGGGAGATGTTAGCCAGGCTGCACATAGCGCAGCTGTTGTTGCCCCCTATGACACATGGGATGGGTCGTTGGCACAGCGTGACACCCGTGTGGCACACACATGTCCTTTGGCTCTCCAGGAAAGTTCCCCAAAACCCGTTCTCATTGCAGTACAAGAAGGACTGGACCCTGTTGAGCCACTGCATCACAGATCTAAATGGATTAAACAAGAAAAACAGGAGAGAGCATTAAGGGTGGACATATTTTTATTTTATCTTTTTATCAGTATCAATATTTTATTACCTGCAAATGTATAAATGTAAAATATCTTTCAGGTAATGGGAAAAAAAAGGTCCTATAAGGAAAAAATTCCATTATGGTGGAAAGCGTTACTTGCTATTGTTATCTTGTCTCTCATTTTCCCCTCAGGCATCCCTCCTTGTCATCTTGACAGTGCTGGAACTTTTTTTAAATGAACATAATAATTCTGATTCTTGATTTGTAAGAGCAGAGGCTGGTCAAGTTTTGTTTCACAAGTAAATTCGGTCCAGTTTTAACTATGATGAATAATTCCAAGCAGGTCAAGAATCTGTAAAGTCCAGAATTCAGAGATGCCAATTTGCTGACCATTTGTAGACTTCCACATTGTCTATTTCTGTCTACATGGTAGAGAGTTAATTTGATAATACGGTTTGGATTTAGGTCCTGCTGAGGATTTGTTTTCACAATTTTTTTTTCATTTTATATTTGTGCACTTTCTAGCACATCATGTTAATCCGAAATCACTGATTTTTTTATACTTTGAACTAATTTGAAGGATTTATCCTTTCTTCTTTTAACAGGATTTACTGCAAAATGTGTCATTATGTGTCATCAATTGGTTAAGCTTTTTTTTCTGTAATTAGATAGTATTTTTTTAATTCAAGTAATTTCACACGTTTCCTCAAGTTTCAAGGACAGAAGATGAATAATCGTTCAAATGTGAGTAGAGTAAAACAAGGCCCTAACACGCACGTCATAACATGACAAATGTATTGATAAATAAGGGATACATACAGTATGTATATAATCAAGCTACCATACAAATTATTCATTAAATACTTATTTAGATTTTGGATTTCAATACTATGGTGTTTAATTATGAGTGACTATGACCACTAGATGACAATGTGTCTCTATGGAAAAATGACTTATTTCTCTAACTTCCCAATTATACATTGTGTTGTCTGGTAAGCTGTAAGAAATTAATTCTGGATCTTAATAAATATGTTAAATGATCCATATGATGACAGTGTGGAGCCTTAACATTGTTTTCCAGAAGAAAATGAAACGTGAAGAAAATTGATCTTTTCTTCATTTATTTACTTTTGTGGCCTTTCAGGTGGGAGAACAAAGAAAATAAAAATAAAAGTATTTTACTCTTCTTTTGAGGGAGGTATAAGTTTTGTCATGGGATTTATAATTTACAACTATTTATGTCAGATATGTTTTATGCACATTATGATTTAATATATTGTACTGGGCACTGTCACAGCAGGATAGTTCCTTGGAGGCAGGGGGGCTTTCTTTGTTTGGTCAGTATGTCTGACAACAAATATGATACATGTCTTTAATTAGTAGAGAAGACTTTTCCATTGGTTTATTTCTCCACTTTCAGAAGGTAAAATGATTTTAAACTTAAGCCTTTAAGCTCAGCTAAAAACAAGTCCAATATTGCATTAAAGTTGCATTAATTTAACGGGGGATGCTATCCTGCAGGTTTTTTAGAAGTTACCCTACCTCAAAACACCTGATTCTGGTGAAAAGGATCTATTCAATAGCTCTATAACAAATGACATGACATCTGAACATGGAAATATTATTAAATTCTACTTAGTTCTTTGAGAATTCCCCTTGATCTGTTACGTATTATAGCATCTCCATTTTAAACCCAAGCACATCTATGTTCTTCACCTGTTCACATTCGAAACCGCCAAATGACATGAATAAACTACTTTGTCATGTTTCCAAGGCAACTGGGTATCACAACAGCTTTTACTTATCTTCTTTTTCTGTCACAAATACCAAAAGACACCAGCAGCCCTGGCCCTTTCTAGAAAAGAACATGTTTTTTTTTTTTTTTTTTCAACCATCTGTGGTTCACTTATCAAAACTATTACAGCATGTGTTTGCCTCATAAAGTTTGAGTCCCTTGTGATATCATATGTTGAGCATTTCCAGTGTGAAAATTGTGAGGTTGGTGGTGTAATATCTGATAAAAGCTATAACTTGAGTTTTCAAGTATGTATATATATAGAAGTGCATTGAAAATAAATGGCTCTTCCATCTGATGCGAAACTGTATTATGCAAGCAAACACATACACATGCTTCTCTTATTTCCTGTGCCATCAGGCACTCTTGATGCAGACTTCATGAAGCACATACTGCAGGTCTTTGATAATACTTCAGAATAAACCTGTGCCAACCCTCACACAAATGTGGCCGTGCTCCTTTTCTGTCAGGGACAGTTGACAACAGCTCATTTCCAGAACGCTTAAATGAATATTTTACAGAATCTGTTTCCCATTTATATAATGACATCCCGTCCGATGTAAAGTTTCATGTGGCAGCTTGGATCTTGGAGTATTTTGTATAGTATTTTTTTAATTCGGTAGGGTGGAAGGAGGGGGAAATTCCTTCCTGGCATTTCCTGTATAGTGCTGACACCATGGCACTTCCGCAGCATGGCTCTTAAGCTGCAACTGCAGTAGGTGGTGACAGATGTGTGCAATGACCTAACAAGAAAACTCCCAGAGAAACATTTTCTTTCCAGGCTGCTAAGTGAAATACAAGAGTGAGCTATAGTGTTTTGGGCATGTGCAAGCCTTAGCACTAAGGTGATTTGATAGACAGAAAGAACACAACCATATTCAAGAATATATAATAGATGTCATGCTTGCTGTGCATGCTTCAAGAGGCAACAATTAAAATGAACCCCACATGAACACAAAGGACCAGTTTCCATTGAACTGTCAAAGTTTCAAGTTTCTTTTTTTAACAAACTTTTTAAAGGATATATCCAAAAGCATCAACACTAAACCTTTGGGTTATGTTACTGACCAATTCTGCAGCAAGGTCATATTTCTACGTACCTCTCCCTAGGCATCTGGTGGTTGGGATTGTGGTGACAACGAATGCTGAGGCCAAAGAGCTTGCGGGCGGTACGCTGGATTTTGAGCCGCTGGATCTCTAGGGAACTCTGAAGGAGCCTGTAGCGGGCCTGGAGGTCCCAGTCACTGCCCCACAGAAGATGCACACTGCTGATGGGCAGGAAATGAGTGGAGGGCAGCCTCTTCAGGAAAGACTTGAACTCATCTAGATCACCGATATGAATGGAGTGCGAGAGAAGATAAACATGAGAGAAAAACAAAAATAAACTGGGGTATATGCTTCTATTTCAAAATGCATTATAATTTGAACAAATTTTGTTCCATGTTTTTATGAGTTTTGGAAGCTTTGGTGAATACTTCATTGTATCTTCTTCAGATCAGATTAATTTTCAATATTAGATTACAATTTTGGACAAGGTGCTTCTAAATGTCACTTGGATTTAAAAAATATTAGCTGAGGTTTTTTTTTTAAATATATACATGATATGTGATCGATCATCATTGTCAAAAAACACCTTGATGAATAATAATTTTGTGTCCCTCAAATATACATTTAGCAATATCAGATTTTGAGTTAATGTTTTAAAAAGAAAAAAAAAGATAGCACTCGTTATTTATGTTAAACCAGTTTCAGTGACTGAAAGCTTTAAAACTGATAGGCAAAATGTTTAAATGCACCAATGCTTATAGAATTATTTTTGATAGAACATATAAAATGTATATCTTTGGACACATTTAATAACACATAACCAGGTTTAAGAGATGGACCTGCAAACACACCAGTACCCACTTATAGCTGTCCCCAAGACGCTTGAACTGCATTAACGACACAGTTCAGCGCTTTTTTTTTAGCCACAGCCGTGAAATGTCAGAATTTCCTCCTCCCTCCTCCCAGGCATGTCAAAGCTCCTTTTTTCTTCAAAGAAGTCAAAATCCTCCTCTCCCTGTTTTGAACTTGCCATATTCCTCCACCCAGCTTTCAGAGATGTCAGATACCTTGGTCGCCCTTTTTCCTAGAAATTCTGGGTGTCACAAGCATCCAACATTCGGAATTATCTGACTCCTTCACTGAAAAACACCTCCATTATCAAGTCACGCCCCACTGGCAGTTCAATAGCTGCCAAGACCTTTTATACAAGCTTCAAAGCCATCAAGTATCCCTTCCTTGATAGAGCTTCCAAAGAATCCTTCCAAAGTGCCTGAGTTACTCTTATCTGGAGCCACGCAGCAGACCTTATCAAGAGATTACAGCTCTCACCATTTAGCCACCTGTTACTTCTTGTCCCAATATATCTAATTTTTTTGGTTTTTTCCAATAATTAATGCGACCGAATGTCTTCAGTTCTGCCAGGTTGTGCAGGAACCACAAGTCAGTGCTAAGTCTCTGTTTATGAAACTATCATAAGAAAAAGAAAACATACGCAAATAAGAATTTATTACTCTTGTGGCAGCAAATTGATTTCCCATATGATCTGCAATTATTGGTCAGGATGGCACAGTGGGAGAAAACATTTCTGCTTATTTCCCTAAGGAAAGAATAAGACATTTTTATTGAAAAAAAAAATATGACTGCACATGATTGCGATGGGCCCAAGCAAAGATTTTGACAGAGAGTATGTTGGATTTTTTTCCCCCCATTTTTTTCCCCATTGCAAAAAATTAAATGTTTGCCAATGCACGGATGGCATTTTGTCTAAATAACCCGTAGATGCACTGATAAAAAATAATTCTCATGTTCCCTGTTGGCACTTTTGTGCTGAATAAACTTTGAATGAATTTGACTTTCCCCTGCACTAATTTGTGCATTACCTTGTATCAAGATCTGCCCTCCGTTTTAATAACTGCATCTTCTCTGATCTATACCGAAAGGCAGGTTTTTCTTCCTGACATTGTTTTGTGTTTGAAACTACCACAGTTTGCCAAAGTCTACGTGGGTGTAACCCCAGCTGCTCTGCAGTAATAACTGTAGCGAGACAGATAACTTGATTAGCTAGTGCCCACAGACTGCTGCTGAGCTTGACTGAGGCAGTCTGTAGTTGTAATTGCTGTTTTACGGGTAATATGACATGTCACAGCGACTACAAAGCTATGCACTAATTTTTATGATTATGGCTGAGACACATTAGGTCATTCTGTCAACACCACCAGCTTCATAAAGTGCTGCTGTCTGACAGAGAGCAATACCATTTCTATTTATTTATTATTTCATCTATGACTATTTAAATACTAACAGTTGTGATCTGATTGGTTTACTGGGTATCATGGATGTTCCAGTCCACAAATAAAAGTTTAGTACTGAAAATCTCTCTCTCTTAGCAACTATAATACTAGCTAGAAAAGTCAGGAAGAGAAGCAGCTGCAGCCACGCTCACAGCCAGCCACTTCACACAGTGAAACTCTGCTGTTTGAAAGGAGTACTGAGCAATGGATACATCACCCCACTATGTCAGATTCTAACGCTCCTCTGTGCCTCGGGAACATGTTCCTGCACTAGCAGAGGCATCCCCTGATATGCAAAGGTAAATATATACATAAAAAATACTGGCGCCATAAACCAATAAAAAATAATCTGTAGAACTTCCAGCAACATGGGTGTTTGAAGACAATCTGTCATCATAGTATGAAAACACATTTAGTTTAAGTGACAGTAAATGACCAACATTGCTAGATTTTTTTTTTTGGTGGCATTTTATCATCAAGTCAATAATAGCTTACTGATATTCAAGTTATATATTGGCTACTGTTATCACCTTAGAGAAAATCCTCTTGTGTCTTATAGATTTTTGCAATATTGTATCATATCCAGGAGTTAAAGAAAAACAAAAGACTAAAAGGGCTCCCCGTTTTCATCAGACAATGTTTGATTGTTTCATATTTTGCTGCATGTGCAAATTGCTGCAGGTGGAGAAGTATGAATTTCAAAATGTATTGTTGTCTCAGGACTTTTTAAAAATGGTCTCTTTAAAGATGCAATGCTCTCAGTGACCTTAATGACAAATTGGATTCCTGTTATGTAACATAAACATATTTTTCTGCTGCTGGGACAATTTCATATCACATCATAACAGATACAGATGCCTTGCAGCATCTATAGAAAGCTGACGTGTGCTTTCCCACCATCAAATTTTAATACCTCCGTCATATGATTTTTTTCACAATACATTTTTTATTATATTACTACATAAGCCCATTGTACTATAGAGACAGTCTTTGTTGTATTCAAAGGAAAACATGGTATTTTATTTGTGTATGAGGATGAAAAGGAAATGACTGCAGTGAAGCAGTGCAATTATGACATTTAGAAAAAAACATATTTAGGATTTGATTTAGCTCCAAAAAGTGAAGGAATATGTTTTACTTTTGTTTACATCTCTAACTGGTTAAGAAAAAAAGGCCTACCAGAGTTCTCGAAGTCTTTGTAAGAAGAGGCCCATGACTCCGACATCCCCAGCAGGGTGTTCTCCATGATCTGGATGTCGGTAATGGGACAGTTGCACTGGGGATACTCCTCTGCACACTGACAGATGCACTGGTTGTTACGGCACACATATTCCCCCTCACCATTGCACATTATGTAGCTCAGAGCTGACTGGACAAATTTCTCCTGCAGGTATTCTGGGAAAATAACCTGGAGGCCTGAAAGACAGAAAGATGAGTGGATTTAGTGAATCATTATGAGTTTAATAGTTATGTTTCAATGATATTACATGGAATTGAATTTTAGAAGAAAAACAAGCTCTCCAACAAAAACTTCACCATTGTTCATATTGACAATTAGAAATACAAAAGCTGAAAGTAATAGTATTCAAATGTACAAAAACGTTTGTTAAAGTGTGTATAAGGTGCACTTTACACCAACCATTTTCTTATTGCTTTAACTTAATGCATGTTTACTTGTCGAGAACAAATGAAAATGAGAAAGTGGCAGACTTACTGTAATTGCCGTTAATGCATGCGGCATATTCACTCTTTTTCAAATAAAACAGACACAGGTAGAAGGAAAATAAAAGTAAAAATAAATAAATAAATGTTTGTGTGCCATACCAAGATTGTTCTGTGTTATAAGCAATCATTTATATTTTTCTAAAGGACGTGCTTCAAAGCTTGCCAGTGTTCAACTTGAGCTGTCTGTGGTGAGTCACTCAGGAGGTGACAGAGAATAACAGTGATTGATGCCTGCTCCTCTATGATGTATTGGTTTCTTCAGAAGCACATTTATTTCCCTTTGCATACATTGTGTTTGCATGCATATCAATGTGTGTGCATTTATATATTTGTTTGTTGTCTTTGAAACCCTACCATTTGCCATATTGCTACAACTGCAATGTAGTCCCAAAATCTGCAAATTAGAGAACAGCTCAGATTTTAAGAGTTGAGCCTCTTCACTCTTCAGTAACACTGACAAGGTGTTTATAATTTTTAGACTCCTCGCCAATCCATATCTTGCCCTAAGGATCTCACGGAATTGAAGCTTGGACAGCTAACTGTACAGGCTTTATCTTCACGTCAGACCTGGGGAAAATAAATCCCTAGCTCTACAGGCCACTGGATTGGAAAAGTACTAAATAGATTTTTTTCCTTTTTGTAGGAAACAACATCTCAGCGAGGCCACATTTTCTTAATAGGTTTTACTTGAGCACAAACGGTGCTCCAGCAGAAAATATGCAACCAGGAACCGGAGCAAAAATATGTTATTGAATGAAAAATGATTGCATTATTCTCTCCCCTCACATATTATTTTCACCTTTGGCTGATAACAGGCATCAGTTTATGCAACATAAACATAATACAGCTAAAATGAAAGGGAAAGTAAGCATATAATTTCATACTGTACATATGAATCATTATCAGGTTGTTGTCATGGAGTTAAATGGTACGCCATTATGCATTTGCATGAGGCAATTAATGCTCTTTATTTTCCCCCACAACAAATACTAAACATAACTGGGTAATTTAGAAGCTGATAAAGGCCTTAATGATTTGGATTGGAAACATAGCACAACGTCGGCAGCATCGTTGTGGCAACAGCCAGTGAAGAAAGTAACACGTAATGTGTTTTGGTTATCCATACACCAGTATTTCTATATTTACCGTGAAAGTCCTCATCCATTCTTCTTGGATGAGGTCTGAGGCTACCACAAAGAATCGTACGTCTTGCAACTAGGGGGAAGACATTCCTGCTTATTGTTTTAAACAATCCTTGCTTGCAATATGTTCCTCTGTTGTTTGCACGACAATACATTCTCCTTTCTCTACACCTTATCAGAGCCACTGTCCATCAGAAAGAGGGGAACAGAAGGAAGCATGGATGGACGGAATAAAGTGAATGGATAGATCATGTCTGACCACAAAAGAGTTGGGTTGCCCAGGGCTCTTTCTCCATCAGGCCTGTCTGGATCCAATATTCATTTAGCTTGATGTATTCCTGGGCTTGAAACTTTAATGTGATTTGTGGGAAAATCCAGATGGCAAGTTCACGGATCAACGCTGCTCACTGACAGTGCTGCTGCCAGCGGCCGCCTGCACAATAACAGTGTGTGCCTCAGCCCCCACCTCTATCTCGCCATACCTCATAGCCCAGGCTCTACTATCAACACGTACACATATTTTCTTTGTTGATATCAGCGTGTTGATGCTGGAAGATGGATGAAGCAACCATTTGAGATGCTGCTGACATTCAGCTCAGGACTATCAGTCCTGCAATCTCTTGTTTTGCGCTCTTCCCTTAGTGTTTCTGTCTATTCTATTCACATGCTCCTTTCTCAGCCTCTTACTATGTGTCTGTACACATCTTCAACTGTCTTACTTCATTAAATTCACTTCTACTCAAACCGCACACATGCGCATGCCCCTTGACTCTCCCCCCATCATCCTTTGGCTCTCATTCACTCCATCAATCACTCTCCTCGGACTTGTTTCCTCACCTCTTCTGCTCCCCCTACAGTCACCCGCTGAGCAAGCATTCAAGTATTGGAAATTTCATGTCTTGTCCTCCCACTCCAGTGCAGAAATGATGTCATGCAATAAAAGTAAATCCATCAACATTTGTTAGTGCAGTGCGGAATGAGTAAGAGTATTGGAGCCCCTCAGGCCGAAAGTGAAATGAGAAACTAATCAGAGTTAAAAACATTTATCTTTGTGACTAACCCAGCTTTTCTGTGTTAGTGCAATAACATGTGACAAAATTGAAAATGATTGGGCTGTAAAGCTCCAGTTTATATGGCTGTGAAGCAGGTATGTGTAGAGAAAAACACCAGATATTGGAGCAGGTACTTCCACCTACCACCATTAAAGAGATGATGAAACGTAAGGTACATATTGCAAAACCTGTGCAGCTATTTGATAACCCTCAACTTCATGCTCTGCCAGTGCAAATAATTTCCTCCAATCCTTATGCCTGTCTTGTTCTAAATAAATAGCACTACAAAACTTCCATTAATCACGTTATTGATGTTTTTCCCCATAGTAGTTTAAAGACTATGGACCCATAAACATTGCTAAAAACCAAGACTCTAGTACAACTTTGCCTCGTCGTGTTTCTTTCAAGACTGCCTGTTTGGTTTTTGTGTCTTTTGAAATGCATTTAATCATTTTTAACTTTGCAATAGATAAGCAGTGCAGACTGCAACTGAGGCTTGTAACTGGCTTGGCAAGAAGTTGCCTGCTTATTGGAATGCCACGCTCTGCCTCATAAGTTACAGTTTCATTAAAGATTAATTGACCATTGTGTGGCTGCAATTTCACAAAATAATCATTACTTAATCCACTGGTGCAATAAAGTGCATTACTTCAATGGGGACATTAAATTACTGTTGGAGGTTATCTTTGCAGCCATGATACAAATCCAAAGTGCTATGAACTATGGAGGATTGTCTGTTTCTTCCTCATCCAGCACTACCCAGCTTTAGCTGCTGATCCTATATATTTAATGCAAAAGTGTAACATAGTTTGAAAAGTTGCTGTGGCTGCCCATTTTATCCCTGGGCTCCTTTTCTCCAGCTATGAGGTAGATGTGTGGCTGAAGTAGTTATTTATCCACTTTTCCTTTCTTTGCATAAAGCTATTTAGGCATCTAACTGAGTGTGCGTGTTGGGCCTGACAGAGGATGACATGTACCACTGGAGCTATTCTCAGCTCTCAGAATATGTTAGCATTTTAAAAGTTCTAAATGAGGTGCATTTAGCATTCAAATAGATAACATGTTAGTGTGTCTGTGTTGAGTAGATTATCGTAGATTATCATAAATGTTCTGAGCACTTCCAAAAGAACAGGAGATAGGTGGATTATTATAGCCATTTCTGGGATAAAATTTGTTTTGGACAGTTTATTTGGTATTTATATATTTATTATATTTTCAACTCAATTTTCACTTCAATTGTCTTTTTTCTTAGTTCAAACATTGTCACACATATACAAAAACAAGAAAACATATATTTTCAGTTAGCAATTAAAATCTCGGTATTCAAGGTTTACTTTTGCTGAATCCTGTGAAGCAAACTGCTGAAATAGCAGGTTGAAGGCCAGGCAGTGTTGCGAAGTAGATGACTTTGAGTTGCTGTTGAATTATTGTCCGTCTTGCAGCACAGAAAAATGACATATCGTGAAGAAAAGAAAAACCTTGAAATCAATTTGCTTTTTCATTTTTTGGGGCGACTATTGCAAGTGGGGCGAGTCAAACTTTGTTGTGTATTATTATTTATTCTTGTTTTAATTTGATATCCTTTAGATATGGTTGAATTATTACTGACGTACCATACCCATTTTCTAGACTACGGAATGCCTATTTGACAAAATAATCAAGATATGACTATATAAAATATATCAACAACTCAATCACCAAACATGGCTTTGTTCCGTCATTAGAAATGTGGCTTCTGCTGGCTGCTTGTGCAGTTCAGCTGTGCACATGTGTACCTGTACAGCAGAAGCAGTAGGCCTCGGCTGGGGAGATATTGTGCTTGTGTGACACAGTTGATACATACACGTACACAAAAACACACAACATCACACACACACATCCACACCCTTTGTGGGCTCTTGCAGAAATCACATGTTTTACAAGAACCCTGGAGAGGGGGAGGAGAGACGTATGACAAGCTCTGACATTTCCATTTCAGCTAAAAAAGACAACTGCCCTCAAAGTGTCACAGTGTGCTGCAAATACATCTCAGATCAAAAGAACCAGATTTATCTCTGAAAACATATCAAACATCCCTAAACACAAAAATATTGTTAATCCTTATACTTTGATCAAAATTAACAACGCCTAAATTCCTGACAAATTCTTTCTCATTAACTTACACACAAGTTGTTTGTGCTGCACTGTGATTTGTGTGTTTGTTCTTTTTAAGACATAGGTCTGTGTGCAATTGCAGAATACAACAATAATACAACACTTTGATTTATCTTAATCAACAATTTAAACTATATTATATTTTAACACACAATGACCGCAGGTATGGACTCCTGACCCTCCGCGACCATACGAAAAATAGCCAATATGGAAAATTGATGGATGAATGTTTATTAGGAGATTCTTTTACTCTGTATAAATGCCACAAGGGCCCCTCTAGATACAAAAGGGGAAAAAAAGTGGAGAAACTCTCAATCAACTGATGAGACTGATTCTGCCTACC